GCCCTGGACCCCGGCAGCCGACAGGGTGGCCCATGGTTGCCACGTGTGGTCGCCTGCCGCCTCCCACTCAGTCATAACTCGCAAGCGTGGCCGGGACACGCTGTCCTCGGGGCCAGCAGAGCACTGAGCACCAGCCTGGCCGCATTTTCACGTGGCTCCTGACGGGCGACGGGGACATGCCCACGGCCAGAAACCACCTCGTCATCGTTCGTTTGGGTTCTGGGTTCTTAAACCTGTTTTTAAGCAAATGGAAAAACCGAGGCATGAAAAGTTAACTGGCTGAGCCCCGAGCTGCCTCCAGGACGCCAGCTGCCTTCCTCGGTTACCTGCTGTCTTGCAGAGCCATGCACGAGGGGCCGGGCAGGAGGGCTGCAGTGTGCAGTGTGTGATTTGCGTGCACGTGGACTCTGTGTGCACGTGTGTGGGTAGAAGGTGAGGGTCCTGACCGGTGGTCCCAGGCATCCTTGCTGAGCCTCTGAGCCTGGAGCGCTCTCTTGGGGTCCTACTCAGGGCCCCCGTTTTCCGGCCTGTAGGCCTGTTTCGTGCCAAAGCCACCAAGACGCTGTTCTCTGCCGTTCAGGGAGCTCATCTCATCCTGGCACGTGAGCCAGTGCTGTGTTCGGGCACGAGCCGTGGGGTGGCGGCTGCCTGGCCCCCAGAGACCCCTGAACAGCCGGGCAGGACGGTGACCCGCAGAAGCGGCGTCCTTGGCAGGACAGCAGCCGAGCACACTTGGGGTGGGGGTGGTGGGCCCAACGGGGCGGCCCTGACCCGTGTCGATGTCCCGTGGTTTGTCAGATCTGGGCTGGGGTCTGGAGGCCGTCCCACCTTGGGCCCCTTTTCTTAAAAGAAAGGCCAGGCCCACGGCACAGAGCCCCCGAGGCAGAAGGCGGCTGTGTCTGTAGGGGTGGTGCTAGTGTGGGTCTCAGCTGGGCCATGTGTCCTCTCTCGTAGGGTTTTTCCTTTTGTCACGAGAGACAAATGTTAGATTTCGGCCTCGCACCCAGGGTTGGGGCCTGGAGCCCTGGAGGGCGGCGGGGAGGGGCCCTGACCCATTAATCCGCAGGCGAGGCCTTCCCTGGTGGCCCACTCGGGAGCAAATTAAGTGCCTATTTTTGTGTCAGCCCTGAAGAGTATCGGGTTCTGCAGCCCTCGGTGACTTGTTAACAACAGGTATCAGGCCGGGGCCGCGGGCCAGCGCTGGCCAGTCAGATGTGAAATAGCATCTCTTTACTAACTACAGTATCGATCCCCGCCTCCCTCACACGCCGGGCAGTTTTCTTTTCCCGGCGCTAACCTCGGTGACAATGCGCGCGGAGCTCCAGGGCCCATCAGCACGCAGGACGGCCCGCGGCCTGGCTCTTATTGATTTTTTTCAAAGGCTTTTAAATTGCTCCTTCATTTTACTGAGATGCTCATTCCGTCTCTACTGGGTGCCGGCGTTTTTCCGTTGTGTTTAAACAATTGCTCCATTCATTGGGTTCCTAAACTGTGACGCCTTCTCGTTACTGGGAGATAAACTGTTCTGGACAGTTTTCCTTAATCTTGGATTAATCGTTCCTGTATCTGGATTGTGCCGCCCCGTATTCCTTCACTTCAAAAATCAACTTGGGGAGGCCTCGCTATCTGTCTGGGCGCGTGGCTTCTCCCCCGACTGGACGTGCCCTGCTTGCCACCCGGCCCTTCTGCCGCAGCCCCCCATGGGGCTGTTGTTTGCATGGTGGGCACCATCGGGGTTTGGGGTGTCCAGCCTCCCTTCTGCCAGCCAGGGCCTGGGTCCGTAGGTCTGGGCACGTTGGGGAGCTGTGCTGTCACACTCCTGACCAGGGCAGCCTTCCTGAGCCAGCAGGCTAGATGGAGCCTGAATCTCAGGGACCTCCACGCGACCCAGCCCTGCCCCCGACCCAGCAGACCGAGACTGCGGTGGAAGTCACTGCCAGGGCAGTGGTGGGTGGAGTTGGGACGCTGGCCTCTGACTCCGATGCCTGTGCCTGCTGCGTTGGGAGCCCCCCATTTAGACAGTTAACGCTTCCCGTCTTGGCAAACAGGCACACTGACCTCTGTTGCAGCCGGGTCTGGTGAGACCAGGCCTCGGGGCTGGGTGACGTTTGTTTCCCCGCGGAGCACCGTCTTCTGACCCGAAGGGCCTGGACCGTGGCGGGAGGAGCAGGGCCGCCTGCCTGAACCGACACCCTCATCGCTGGGGCCTGGGGCCAAGTTCTCTTTGGACCAGTAAAGAGGCCGTGGCCACCCTGCTGTGCACACCCTCTGGCCGGCAGACGGGTCCAGAGGCCACGCCTGGGTTCTGGCGGGGCACTGTTAGCCTGGAGGCAGAAGCAGCCTGCGCGTGGCACTGCCCCTGGCCGCCAGCCTCAGTTGCCTTCATGCCTAAGGGGTCAGTGGAGGCACCCACCTTGGCCTACGGGGGCCTTGCGCCCACTCCTCGGGCAGCCGGTGGCCCTCCCTGCCCCCGTGTCAGGGAGGGCTTGGGGCTCAGGTGAGGTCGGCGCCGGCAGTTTTCTGCAGTGTCGGGTGTGTTTGCAGCCTGGCGGGACCCTGAGCTCATGAGGGACGTGGAGGCAGCCACTGGGGTGCATCTTGGCTCATCCAGGCCCGGTGGGAAGGGCAGGCGGCGGCAGTCCGGCCTCACCGACCTCAAGCGGCAGGCGGACACAGCGCGTGCACGCATCGCCAAGAAGGTCTTCGCCAAGTAAGAGCTTCTCGCGGGGTCCCGCCCTCTGCCCCAGGCCCGGTGTCGCTGGTGGCGGGAGTGGAGAAGGCCATCAGCCCGCGCCCGCCGCCCGCGCCCGCCGCCCACCCCCCG